GATACTTAGAATAACTTAAAGCAGATATAATATAGTTCTGCACTATAAATTAACCTTTATAAAACCACTATTAGAAACCCATAAAGGACAAGAAAAGAAGGAACTTATAGAAGAAGAAATAAAGCAATAGAGACTCTAAAGGAACGAAATTAATAACAACTATTACTACTAAAAGATAGAGAACCTAGAGTAAAAGGAATACTTCTAATAGAAATAAAGAGAAAGATAATAAAATAAAAAGGATAATAAAAAATATAAAGAAGCAAAAGTCTTAGGAGTATTCAATAAAGGAAAAACAATTATCCCTAAAACAGAAGAATAGCTAAGTACTTTACAATTAATTAATAATATCCTTATTAAGATAATTATATAACAAGATAGAACGACTCTTATGGTAGATACTGAAAAAGGATATATTATAAGATATAAAATGCCAAGATTCGCTAAGAATAAGCTCTAAAGAACAGAGGAAGCCCTCCGCAAAGAACTAGAAAACCAGATAGCCCTTTAGAAGAAAGAAGAATAAGTATGAATTAAAAGAGAAGTAAGTAATAAAATATATAAATACTACTACTAATATGCAAGAAGCATAAGATACTGAGGTAAAGCAGCAAGATAAACAGCTAGATATCTCTATAAAGAAGATAAGAAACTTAAATAAGAATAGCAATAAACTTACACCCCCTTATTTAATAAAAACGGAAATAGGTATTATAATTTACTATATAAAAGGTATATCTAAGGAGCAAAGGAATATATAAACATTAATAAGCTAAAAGCTATAATTATATAAGCCTACTATATAAACAATACTATAAACCCCCTATATAAAGAACTTAGGTTTAACCTAAAGGATAATATTAGGATATTTCCTACTAATAATTAATACAAGGAAATCTCTTAGGTATCTTATAGGTATTACTAGTGCAAGGCCTATAAGGGAGAAAAATCAGATAATAATTGTTTTCCTATAGCCATCCCTAGAAACCCGAACTCAAACCTATATATATATAAAGAACTAGCAGGATATATTATACACTCTTAATACAATAACCTAAGAGTAGCAGAACTATGATTCAACATAATATTATTCTAGGAGATTAACCGAAACTAATAACAAGAATGTAGCTTCTATATAAGAGATATCTCTATAAAATATTACTCCTTAACTAATAAAAACAGACAGTTTATGCAAGAACTAGGGAAAAGGGAAGAAATAGCCTAACTAATCTAACAAATTAAGGAATAGGAAATATCCACTATAGACGAAATAACTACTATAGATAGAGGAAAAGCAATGCCTAGCTAGGTTATAGAAGAACTAGATTAGGCAGGAATAGCCAACTTACGATAGCTACAAGACAATAAGAAAAAAGACAAGAACCTTAAAGTAATTATAAAGTTCTTTTAATAACTATACTTAAGTAAAGGAAAGCCTATTAATATATAGAAAGCAGTATAGAGGATATATAATAAATATAAATAGGAACTTATAAAGGAATGCCAGGAGCTAAACGAGGTAGATTATATTAAAGGATATGCAGACTTAGAAAAATATTATTAGAGTTACCTTAAGAGCATTAGAACCCTATATAATAAATAAATAACAAAATCAGAAAGATATAAAATATATCTAAAGATACTAGAGGAATAGTATAGGGAATTAGAAGAATGCTTCTAATAATAACTATTTAATAACAAATTTACTAATAATTGCACTAACGGCAAAGGATATACAGATAGCAACTGCAAATAAACCTACAGAGATGCCTTAGGAAAAGTCATATACTATCTATAACGGAGCCACAGACGCGCGAAGAGCCAGGACCAGGCAAACTAGGCCTATAAAGAGCTCTAGGAGTTATAAACTAAGATAACTTAAACCGCCTAGTACTAAAGGTTTAGATTAAGGGAAAGGAGCTAAATGCATAAATAGATTGCAGAGCAGAAAGTAACTATATTAAACCCAAAGTAGTAATAAACTTAAAGCTACTATAGAAAAGGAAAAAAGAACCATACCCCTTAATAAACACAGAAAGGCAACTTTTCGATTATAATAATAGCTAGATAAATCAGGAGATTAATTACCTTAAGGTCTTCATTAACAGAAAGAATCGAGGAGTAGATTTCGATATTATACCTCTAGATAAGGTCAATATCCTCCTAGGAATGCCATGGTTAAGACGCTATAACCCCAACATTAACTAGCTGACTGGCTAAGTTACTCTCTAAAGCAACATTAATAGTAATAAAGAAACTAATTATAAGGATAATAAGAAATCTCAAACTTTAACTAATAAAGACAACAAAGCACAGTATAAAAGAAACATTTTACTACCCCTAAAGGGGACATAATATAAATATATAAAAGGCAAAAAGAATTAAAATAAACAAATACTAGGTCTCCTTAAACAACAACTATACGACTTAGACAAATAACTATAAGAATAAAAAAAAGTTAAAGTAAAATAATAGCAAGAATAACTTAAGAACATCCCTAAAGAATACTAAGTCTATAAGAAACTATTTAAGGAAAAACTTAATATAAAGGTACCGCAGCATAGCTATTAGGACTATGAAATTTGGCTTAAAACAGATAACCTACCATTCTAGAAGATTTACAATCTTAACAAAAAAGAGCTTAAAACTCTAAGAAAATACCTAAAAACAGAATTAGCTAAGGGAAATATCTAAATATTTACCTTATTAGCAGGATTCCTAGTAATATTTATGCCTAAGAAAAACAAAAAACTATAACTTATTATAGACTACTAAAGATTAAATGCTCTTACTATTAAGGATTAGACCCTACTTCTGCTTATTACAGAACTTAAGGACTGCCTATAAGGAAAACAGATCTTTACCACTCTTAACCTTAAAGGAGCCTATAATCTAATCCGCATTAAGGAAGGAGATAAATAGAAGATAGCATTTAGAACTAAGTTTAGACTCTTTAAGTACTTAGTAATGCTATTCAGACTTACTAATATACCTATAACGTTTTAGTAAATAATTAATAATATACTTTAATAATACCTTAATATCTTTATAATATACTACTTAGATAATATCCTAATCTTCTTAGATAATAAAGGAGAACATAAGGAATATATCTATAAAGTCTTATAAGCACTATAAGATACTAACCTATTAGTTAAACTAGAGAAGAGTTACTTTTATATAAAAGAAGTAGACTTCCTAAGATATACCATTTCCCCAGGATAAATTAAAATAAATTAAAAGAAAATTACAGTAATATATAATTAGAAACCACCTAATAATATTAAAGAAGTATAGAGCTTCTTAAGTTTTACTAACTACTACTAACAATTTATAAAAGACTTTAGTAAAATAGCAAATCCACTTACTAAACTAATAAAAAAAGGCAAGACCTTTATATTTAGCATAAAGGCAAAAAAAGCATTTATAAAACTACAAGATATAATCCTTAATAAGCCAGTCTTAATTATATTTAACCTTACTAAGGAAATAAAACTAGAAATAGATATATCAGATTTTACACTTAGAGGATAAATCAAATAAAGAGATAAAGAAGGATGCCTCTACCTAATCGCCTTTTACTTATATAAATTACATAAAGCAGAGCTTAATTACCCTATCTATAATAAAGAATTCCTAGCAATTATTAACTATTTTAAGGAATTTAGACACTACCTTATAAGAAGCATACATTAAGTCAAAGTCTATACCAATTACTAGAATATTTTGCATTTCGCTATAACTTAAGAACTAAACAGATAACAGCTATACTATACTAAATACCTATATAAGTTTAATTTTATAATTATTTACTATAAGGGATTAGAAAATAAACAAGCAGATGCCATTAGCAGAAGACTAGATTATAATACTAATATAATAAAAACCAATAAACAGATCCTAGAAAAGAATAAAAAGGGAGAATATAAGTTTACCTAATAAACCAAAGCACTAGGATGGATGCAAAAGGCAATAGTAAAAACAATCCTAAAATATAAAGTATGCGACTTCCTTTGCGAATTCCATTTATACCTATTATATAGATATTAAGGAGTTATAAAGACCTTAAAACAATTATAATAATAAGGATACTAGATCTAAAGAAAAGAAGTAAAGAAAACAATTAAATAATGCGACCTCTATATAAAGATAAGGTTATAAAGATATAAACTATATAGATAACTGCAACTACTAGAAGTAGCAAAACGACCTTAAAGTTCAATTATAATAGACTTCATAACCAAGTTACCTTTATTAAAAAAACCCTTAACTAGAATCTTCTATAATAGTATTATAGTTATTATAGACTGACTTATAAAGTTCTTATACTACTTACCTTATAGAGAAATAACAGATATAAAACAAATATTATATATCTTCTATAATAGAATAGTTAGAATATATAAACTACTTATAGAAATCCTATTAGATAAAGGACTAACTTTTATATTAAAATTTTAGCAAGTACTTATATTGCATTTAGGACTAAACTACTAACTATTAATAGCCTTTAGACCCTAAATAGATAAACAGACTAAACAAATAAATCAGGTACTAAAGCAATACTTATAGTATTACATTAACTATAAATAAGATAATTAAGTTAAGAAACTACTATATGCCTAATTAGCTTATAATACCGCATATAATGAAAGTACAAAGCTTACACCATCTAACGCTAACTTTGGATTCACGCCAAACGCATATTATAATACACGAGAACCTAAATCAATTAACCTAGCAGCCATTATTAAAAGCAAAGACCTCAAGACGCTCTATAATAAAATAAAAACAGAGCTTAAACACGTCAGAAAACGGATAAAACGGTACTATAATCCTAAAAGGTTAAAAGGACTAACCTTCTTAGAGGGAGATATAGTTTACCTATCTACAAAAAACATCAAAACAGACTAACTAAGTCATAAACTAGACTATAAGTATATTAGACCGTTCAAAGTTATAAAGAAAAAATCAGAAAATAACTACAAACTAGATCTACCCTTAATAATATAATACTACCTAGTATACTATATTGCAATACTTAAATCAGTAGCAGACATAATATATATCAGAACTAGTAACAAACCACAAGTAATTACAAGACCAGAGGTCTATAAAGCAGAAGCAATCAGGAAGATATAACTAGAGAACAGAAAACGCAAATATTTAGTTAAATAGAAAGACTACCCGGAAAACGAAAATACATAGAAACCCACTAAACACCTCGCTAACGCCCAGCGACTCCTGAAGAACTTTCACCAAACTCAAATAAGGGCAACGCATCTAAAAAATCGTCCCCCAAACCCAAGGACGCCCAATCAACATCATTAGGAACGTGGTCTACTTAAAGATCGCGCACCACGGCATCTTTATAAGCATCCAATATAGACAAGATACCATCTTCCTTCTTAACTTCTTGAAGACCACGATGCATGGCTTCAGAACGTTTCTCTTTTACCCTAGCCCGGATCTTCCGGATATAGGAAAGACGCCCAGCAGCAGCCGCGAGACGAGACTGCAAGGCCGCCATCTCTTCATAAAGCTTCAAAAGATCATCACTAGCTTCGTCCTCGTCCACTTCAAGCTTTTTCTCTTGTTTCATAAGAATAGACACTAGAAAAACATAAGATCAGCAAAGAAGAAAGAAAAAAAAAAAAAAAAAAAAAAAAAAAAAAACCCAGAAAATACTCACAAGAAGACGCTACTTGCGTACCATTGCAAGGTTTCCGCTTACGCATATACTCGCTACACCGACTAGAGTCAGGAGATATCAAACATTTCTCTCCAGTTCCCGCTCGAAAGCAACGAGTGCACGGCATATCCGCCTATTTACCAGACAATGCAACAGATTCAGCAAGTTTCGCCACATTACGCTCCTTTTTAAGTCTCTCTAGCTCACGTTCTGCATAAGTCTTGCAGGAATACTGTTTAGAAACACAGTTAGATATCACACGACATAATAATAAAAGGTTTAGGTTAGAACGCACTAGGTGAAATTTGGGATAGCCAGGGTATACAGGTCTCGAGGATAAGACCCAACGGAGGGGAGAGATCGTGTTACGACCCCCGCAGTTGCGTCACGTGTACCCTACAATTTCACTTTCCTCCTCACCAATCATGACACGGTTCATGTAAGGACGACCAACACCAGAACGCCGTTATCCCTAGAACGCTGCATCCCAAGACAACAGCATCCCTACACACTATCATCCCTCACTCTACAACCTTAGTATATAAAACATATTCATTAGCACTTTCATAGATCTTAGCTCACCAGCTATCAATAAGACTTCTTTACATCAATAAGCCTAACACGCATTACTTAATCATTAAGAGACGTGACACTTCGCACCGCTTAGCATCACGCCCTACGTTATCTGCTAACATAAACCTAGAACGGACTAGTTTATCCCTTGGAAACCACAACCGTTACAATATCTTACTAATTTACTTCTTAAAGATTATAATAAGTAACTTTAAAATATTTTTCTTTTATATAATTATAAATTTTATAAATCCTTAATAAATAACTAGTAGCTAAAGTTAAATAAGACTATAATATTACTATTTCTATATAAAGTTTAAAAAGATCTTTACTTACTTTATCTTTATTATTTTTTAATTTCTTTTCTTACTTTATTAAATTTATAACTAAATAATTAATAAAAATTAATAAAAAAATAATATATAATAACTTATAAAAAGATATAATATAAGTACTATTATAAGATTTCTTAGCCTAAATATACTTATTATAATAAGCAGAATTAACAGATATTAAATACTTCTTACTTACCTTAAAATAATAAGTATAAGGTATATTAGCTTCTTTATTAGCAAACTTAATAAAAAGTATAAGTATTTAGATTTTATAATCCTTATAAAATAACTATTTAAATATATAATTAGATATTATAAGATATAATAATAAAAGGTTTAAATTAGGCCTTATTAAAAGAAAACTAATATTAATTAAGATAATAAGCCTTAAGGGCAAGACTACTAAAGGAGGAAAATTATATTATAATCTTAATAGTTATATTATATATACCTTATAATTTTCCTTATATAACTAATTAATTAAGAAAGGACTAATAATTATAAGACTAATAGTATTTTAAAATTATATTATTTTAAGACTAATAATAACCTTATATTATATTACTTTTATATAATTATTATTAATATATAAAATATATTTATTATACTTTTATAAATCTTAGCTTACTAGCTATTAATAAAACTTCTTTATATTAATTAAGCTTAATATATATTAAGTCTACTATTAAGAGATATAATACTTTAATAAGCTTAGTTATATACCTTATATATTCTGCTAATAATAAACCTAGCACGGCTTAGTTTAATATAATTAGACCTTACTATTACAAGCTAGCCTTAAACTTCTTCCTTTAACTTACTTTAAAAGATACTAACGTGTATGATAAGCGAGTGAGCCAGACAAGCAAGTGAGCCAAAAATCCCTCACCTTACAACATTATAATTCAATCAGCTATATCTCAACCAACAAATATGCCACAGTCCTCAAATGAAGCTAGAATCCTTCTTGCCCTTCAGGCCCTTCAAGATAACCCTAAACTTACAGTCCGACGGGCGGCAAATATCTACAATGTCAACCGTAGTACCTTAGGTCGCCGCCAGCATGGCATTCTTTCAACGCGTGATACTCCCACAAAGTCACGGAAACTATCTGATCAGGAAGAGCAGATAGTAGTCCAATTCATTTTAGACCTAGATTTGCGAGGTTTTCCCTCGCGACTATCATATGTGGAAGATATAGCTAATTCTATACTTGCCAACCGCAACGCGCCATACGTCGGCAAGCGCTGGGCTTATAACTTCGTCAAGCGACAACCAGAGCTAAAGACACGTCTATCTCGGAGGTATGACTATCAGAGAGCTAAATGCGAAGATCCGACTATTATTCGTGGCTGGTTTCGGCTTGTAGAGAATACAATCGCGAAATACGGTATCCGATCAGATGATATCTGGAACTTTGATGAGACCGGCTTTATGATGGGCGTAATTGAGCCCGGAACAGTCGTCACAAGCTCTTACAGGCAAGGAAGACCAAAGCAAGTACAGCCTGGAAACCGCGAATGGATTACTGTGATCGAGGGGATCAATGCGGACGGTCAATCGATCCCGCCGTTTATCATTGGTGCAGGCAAGGATCACCTTGCCAATTGGTACCAAGAATGCGACCTCCCCGGCGATTGGGTTATTGCATTGAGCGAAAATGGATGGACTAATAATAAGCTGGGTCTCGAGTGGCTAAAGCACTTTGATCGGGCTACAGCTAAGCGAACGAACAGTCGCTATCGCCTCTTGATCCTTGATGGTCACGAAAGTCACCACTCCGTCGAATTCGAGAAATATTGCAAAGAGAACAAGATTATCACGCTCTGTATGCCTGCTCATGCCTCTCATCTACTTCAGCCTCTTGACGTAGGGTGCTTTGGGCCGCTGAAAAAGGCATATGGTCGAGAAATAGAGCATCTGATCAGATGCAATATAACCTATATTAAGAAGACTGAGTTCTTTCCTGCCTTTTACGCCGCCCACCAAGCTGCTATTACAGAAAGCAATATCAAGGGAGGTTTCAGAGGAGCTGGGCTTGCTCCCTTTAACCCAGAAAATGTCATCTCGAAGCTTGATGTGCAGCTACGGACTCCGACGCCTCCCGTAGAGGTCATAATACCATCGACCCCTTGGACTGCAAGGACCCCAAAGACAGTGCTAGAGGCCCAATCGCATTCTAAGTATCTGCAAGGAAGGATCAGAAATCATAAGAGCAGCTCCCCTGAGTCAATAATTGAAGCCGTAAAGCATTTTGAGAAGGCAACAACTGTTCTTATGCATAAGATGGTCTTACTAGATGATAGGGTTCGACAACTTGAACAAGAGAATAAGACAGTAGGGCGACGCCGGAGGGGAAAAAGGACTAAGGTACAGAAAGAAGGGCCTTTAACTATAGGGGAAGCATTACAAGCAATTGATCAGATAGATATTGATGCGCAGCTAACAGCTGAATCCTCGAGAGGTGGTCGCGGAAGGTCACAAGGAGCAAAGGTTCGGCAGTGTAGTATTTGCGGAAAGACCGGGCATAATGCAAGGACCTGTCAGGAGGCAATTGAGGTCAATAGGGAATAGTATAACAATTAATTTTAATTGATCAGATAGATTGTGGTGTTTTTATTGCGAATTTAATTTGGAAGGTTAAGATATGTGGCTCACTCGCTTGTCTGGCTCACTCGCTTATCAAGCACGTTATACTTTAATTATTTATTATGTAGTAAGTTATTTAACCTAACTTCTAGCTATAACTACTAATAGTATTATAGCTGCCCTAATATAATACTTTAAAAAAGCCTATAAGTACCTAGGCTTAATAAGCCTTATCTAATTAAAGGCTATAATATAATCCTTAAAATTAAAGAAACTTTTAAGTAAAATAAAAAAGATAAAAATAATATATTTTATATAATAATTATAAATATTAAAAAGACCTAGCTTAATAAAGATAATATTAGCTATATTAAGTTAGTAATTTTTAATTATAAAATCCTCTTATTTATATATATTTTTTATATAATAGACCTTTTAATTAATAAAGCCTTTTTTAATTCTAGGATATAAAGCCTTATAGACCTAAAGAAAAAGCTATATAGAGAGGTATAGTATTACGACCCCAGCGGTTCCATTACATATACCCCACATTTTCCACCAATTACCACAATCCCCGCTAAAGATAATTAGCGCCAAGACTCTATAATTAGAGCTAATCTATTACGATTAGTACTAATCCGCTTAGATTACTATTAATCCCTTAATAACCTTACTAATTATTTAAGGATACCTTTAGTATATAGACTACATTTATTAGCACTTTTATAAAACTTAGCTTACTAGCTATTAATAAGACTTCTTTACCTAAATATGCCTAACCTGCTCTATTCACTATTAAGAGATGTGATACTTTATAACTGCTTAGTATAACGCCCTATAACTCTATAAACATTAAACCTAATATAGACTAGTTTACCTATTTAAAACCTATTCTGTTATATATTAATAGCTCTTATTTAGAATATACTGTATTAAATAACTAAGTAATATTATACTATTAAGATATCTAGTAACACTAGCCTAGCACCTCCTTATACTAAAGCACCCCCTAGTATAGCTAAACTTATAGCTAAAGTCTAGCAGTTATACACTACTATCTATAACTTACAGATACGAGTCAATAAATAGCAGAATGCTGCGCTAGCCAATAATAATGCTAACGAATTATAAGGACGCGACCTCAGAGAGGCACTTAAGCCGCCTAAGCTAGAACCTTTTAAGGGACAGGTAGCTAATATAATCCCATTCCTTACCTAAATAAAAGGATATTTCTGCCTATTCCCTAATAAACTAGACACCGCTACTAAGAAATTGCTATTCACTGCATTACTAATTTAGGGAGATACTAAAGACTGGTTCGAACCTATTATAAGGGACTACCTTAAAAATAAAGAAAACCTATAAGACTAGGATACCTAAAACATCTTTAGAGATTAGGAAAACTTTAAATAAGCACTAAAGGACAATTTCGGAGTAGTTAATAAAAAACAATAAGCTATAGCAGAATTACTAGCGCTTAAATAGCATAAATTATACGCTATGCACTTAGCTAAGTTTAGACAGCTTGCCGCCAAAACCTAGTAAGATAATAAGTCTCTTATAGAAATCTACTACTAAAGTCTAAAAGAAGATATTAAGGATAAACTATACCTAGCCGATAGACCCAATAACCTGACTATATATATTACTATAGTAATTAAGATTAATAAAAGATAGTATAAATGCAGAAGAGAGAAAGCCGCCTACTAACAAAAAGGAAGCAACTTTAACCTATATTACCCTAGCCAGAGACGCAATAATAATTAAGGTAACTCTCGAAATCAAGGATAGCGACAAGGGAATCGCCAAAATAACACCATATAT